TCATTCAATTAAACTACCTTTTCTTTTCGTTTTCTTTCAAGAGAAACCAAGTTTGAATTAAGAGAATATTTGTAATTTAATATTTATTAAATGATTTTCATCTTCTTTAATAATCTTCTTTTAATTTATGAATTCAACAAATTTTACTTTACTTTTTTTAAATGTTTGTATTCGCTTTAATGTAGATTAATGTAAATTAGTAAAAAGTGTAGAATTTTCTTTTCAATAAATTTTACATTATTACACTTGCTTAGTTTACTCGAGAAACAACTTTTTGTTAAATAATTTCACAAAGAGCGTTTATTTTAAATTTCCACTTGGAAAACATTAAAGAAGATGTATTTTTTTTAACTTTGTATTCGTTTTAATGTACTTTAATTGATATGAGTAAAAAACGTTAAATAATTAAAATGGTTTGAGAATTACAAGAACGAAATGGCAAAGTAAACGTGTTTGTTCATGCTCATTTATTATTGAATGGGTTGGAACTTTTTAAATTATCCCTCGCATCCCTATTGTAAATAACTTGTGCGCACAATTAATCCATCTTTATCTAAATTTCGTTCCATTTGTGCATTCGTTTCAGGTACGGTGAAGCCCTTCAGGCTGTGGTTCCACTCGGATTCAAGGGAGGCACCGCAGGATGCGAGCAACAGGGGCTTCTGCCTGAATTACGTGCAGCAACCTTGCACGAACATCATTTCATGAGACATTCCGAACGTTTTAAATTTTAATCAAATGAAAAAGTGAATAATTTCGCCAACTTTCATCAACGACCTACGTACAATAATGTTAACGTTTTTTTAATTTTGTTTTTTTGTTTGTTTATTAATTCTGTATTCTGATTAAGTTTTAAATAATAAAATTGTTGTTTTCATTATTTTGCTTAAGGGATTTAATGAGTTGCCGTTGAGTTTTAATTAAAAAAACGTCAGTCCGGTGCGCTGCAAACATTTTTTTTTATTCTTTTTAATAACTTTCATGTTAATAATTTCACTTTTCGCATCCCTCAGGTATGAAGCCTCTAGAATGAAGTAAATCTCTTCCTCTGCTTTGGCTTATGAAACATTTCATTTCAGCTCTCTTTCTTTATATAAATATATTTTTTTTTAGTTTATTGGAATTCCAGGAAACGAAATCTACATTTTTCCAAGAAACTTTATTTAAAGAATGGGAGTATTTCTCCTTATTTTATATTTCGCTGTTGTTATTATTTCAGCGAAAAACAAACGTTCCACTTCAAATATACATACAATGTTATTTCGTCGACCGTGCACAACAAAATTTATTATGTAAGTTCTATGAATAATGCATTTCAACTTATATACGAACGCCACTATTTTATTTATTGAGTCTTGTGTGTATTGTACTAGTGATATTATATTGATTTTATCATGGAACGTAATTACATGACTAAAAATTACTTTTGTTCATTAAATTTTTATGTTAAATTCTACTTAAATAGTAGTAAAAATGGATAATAATTAAAAATAATATTTTATGAATGAAACATTGGGTGAAGTAAAAAGTTCAGAGCGTTTTGTCCCATACATCGAGCTTCTTCGTGAGACCAGATTTTCTAGCTAATCTTCAGTTCCTGGGTAATGGAATAAGTGCTCGCATTTCTTTCCAACTCGACGGTTTTCATGATTTTATCAACAATTTGGAAAGCTCTAACACACAACTGGATTCACTAAACACAAAACTATCAAAGAACTTATGTCGCCTTTAAGTCACAGTATAGAATAATATTATGCAACGTATACATCGTGAGATATGGTTCACTAAAACCATGTAACGAAAAACGCTCAGAACTTTTTATTTCACCTATTATTTCCAAAATTTAGAAGAAAATTAGAACGAAATTGAAAATTTAATGAAATATGTCTATGATATAAGATAAAGGATAATCAAATATTGTAAATTTAAAAAAAAAAATGAGGAAAGCAAAGAAAATTGTTAATTAAAATAACATTAACAGTTTGAAATTAACAAACATAAATTAGGGAGAAAAATTTGAATATTTTTCAAATTTAAGAAAAATATATCATGAATAATTGGATTGAATATTAAGTTTAAATTAATGACAAAAAAAAACAGTAAAACTTACCTTAATAACTAAGTAAGAAATAATTTTTCTAAAGAAATAAATTAGTTTTTTAATTACACTTGGTTCTCATGCGGTAGATACGTTCCATAAAAATAAATCGCTCAAAAAAGGACTAGACACACGTATAAAAATAAAGGATACGTTCCATAGTTTTTTAAAACCGCATAAAACTAAATCAATGAGTTACAATATGCCGAAAATCGCATAAAAAGGGTTTATTAAATTTCAGAAAAATAATTAATCTTACTATATTCTTTCTGAAATGTTTATTCATAATTTTATAAAAACGTTAACAATCATAGACAAGTTTATTAAATTTCAGAAAAATATAATCTTAACATATTCTTTCTAAATTTATACCGAAACATTTTACAAAAGTTATTTAAAAAAATGCTTCTTGAAATAAAAACCGCATAAAAAGAGGACCTAGTGTAATTTTAACAAATTTCAAAATTTAGATATAAATTTAAAAAAAAATACACGAGTAATTAAAACAAGGCACAAAATTGAAATGAGGGAAAGAAAAAAGTATGACTTACCTTAACTCCTTCACTGCGGAGGACGAGTATGTCTCGTCATGAAAGTGTATTGCAATTACGTAACTAATAAAATTAAAACGCACACTGAATTTAATTGCTTAATTACAGAATCAAAAATAACAATTTTGCTTTCAAACTTGTTTTAGATGATGATTTGATGAATTGTTTTGTAATAGAAACAAACAGATATGCTGAACAATGGCAGACAAATAATGTTAGTCAATTAGCAAAGAAAAAATACAGGGTAAGTAAATGGGTACACGAAATGTATTGGTCTGACATTGCTTATGGGAATAATCAAAAAGCCAACCATTGGATTGTACAGATTCAACAGATAGATGTCAACAGATTCTTTATAAAACACTCCTGGTTTTGGTCGTGTAATGACAAGAGATCGATATCAGTTGATTTTAAAAAAATTCCGATGTGCAAACAATCTGATCCACATGATCAGAATCGTGATAGACTATTCAAGATCCGTCCATTGATGGATGATTTGAATGAGAAATTCTGCAGGTTCTATACACCAAGACAAGTTGTTGCCTTGGATGAATCACTTATACTTTGGAAAGGCAAACATTTTGCCTGTTGAAACAGCAGATATGAACAAAACAGAGAAATTGACAATTTAAATAATGCTTCTTCCATTATCATTAATAGAGGAACAAGCATTTCTATATGGTCGCAAATTTCATTCTTTGATGAAATCAACTTTGAAATTTTTTTTTAAACATTTCGGGACAAAAATTACAATGGTAAATCACTAAAAAAAATAGTTATAATATGAATAATTGCAAAATTGAATAAGAATTGAAATGATAAATTAGAAGTAATTAAAATAAAGTAAAAGAAATTCGTATTTAAAATGTAACAAATAATAGGGATAATTAATAATAAATTATTGAATTTTATGTGTATTTTTTTTAATAGAATAAAAATTAGATACTTACCTCGAAAATTTAATAAGAAATAGATTGTTTAATGAAGGACAAAATAAAAATTTGTTTAAACACTTTATTCGAATATAACTTTATAAATATTTGGTATATGTAATAAGTGTAGTAATTAAGATATTTGTTGTATTTTCTTGTTGTCCGTCATCTCCTCGCGTTCTCAACAATATGTTCCAATTCCAGTAAATTCGGTGTGTGTCGCAGTGCTCGTTCGGTAATATTCAGTAAATCAGGTAATATTACACAGATTACAAGTAAATAGAATTTCGTTAGAAGAAATAGAACAGGTGTGTCTGTCGTACAGTCTCGGCAAAAATGTGGACATCCCAAGATGTGGCTTATAGACTTACGTACGTATTATTAATAATGTAATTTAATAATGTAATTTTTTTTTGTACAAATGTTAAATTTCAATTATTTATTTTTAAGTTTTCGCATTTTTGCAAGCCTCCTTCGCCTTCATGAAGTACGTTATCATGTCAATCGGCAATGGGAACACAATCGTCGAATTCTTCTCCGCCGAGATCGTATTTAGAGTCTGCATTACACAATCAGTACACAAAAAAAAAACAGGATGAGCGCAACGCCGGCAACAAAATATAAATTCGTGTTAATAACAACAATAACAAAGTGTCGAAGAGAAACGATTAAGAAGTGTTGAATGCGAGTTGATTACTATAACCGAACGAAGAGTGCGCGGAAGGATGCATGCATGAACCACTGTATATGCACGCATCTCGCATCGCGCATTCATCTTTCGGCCTCTCTATTGTATTATGTACAAAAACCTTATATTTTGCATTAAGTTTAATTATTATTTATTTTTTTGTTTGTTATTTAGGTTTCAAACGCACACAGCAAACAGCCACAGTCATGTAATGGATATTGAGCAGAAGGATTGAGTGTAAGGATTGTAGTGAGCAAAAAGCGGTGTATTAAATTATTTAATATAATTTATCAGGTTTCAGTGCCTTCAGTTTTTAAAATTGATTTGTTTTTTTTTAAATCGGAAAAGCTGATCCACAGGAAATCGGTAAAACCATTTTTTTTGTAAAAGCTAATTTCCCCATTTCAATGCAAATCCTGGGCGTAAAACGGATAATGTTCAACTCGCTAGGATAATTTTTTTCCAGTTTGTTTCTTTTTAATTAATCAATCTAGAATTGCTTAAATTTAAATTAAAAACTAAATCTCTGTTACGATACTCTAAAAACTATAGATTAGAAACGACTAGGCTAATTGCGTTAAGCTTAAAGTGATGATTCGAAACTAGTGCGTGATTTTAATAATATTAATAATAATCCTTGGATCAGCTTTTTTTTTAAATTTTTAAATTGTATTTTTTTTAAGTGTGTTTGCATTTAAAGAAATTGTTAATTTAAGAAAGAATTGAAACGATTTCAGTGAAACATTGCACTTTTATTAACTAGTCATTGAGGGTTATATAATTATTTTTACATATAGATTTGAATAATTAGAAGATTCGATAATTTCATTATAACGATTAGACATCATAAATATATATTTCTTAATCTCGCAATAAGTGAATTAGCCTATTACACAATAGCCCTTTAACATTAAAGACAGGAGAATAATGTATCAATTGATTTAATTTGTATTTTGTTTCTGCTGATGCTCTAGGGTAGATCGAGAGGGCGCAACACCTCTAATCGCGCCCCGACGAGCTGAGAACCCCAATTTTCGCAGCAATCGTTCCGTCGACTCATCATTTCGAGGGAACGATTACTCAAATCATTAAATCTACTTAATTAATGAATATTTAAGTAGAGTTAATTCGGATTTATGGATGCGGAGAGAGGCGCGACCTTCAACCCTAGTTTGCTCAGTTGTTGATTTTTGTTGTTGTCGCGCGTCTCTCCGAATCTTGTGTCAATTTTCTTTTCTATTTGAGAGAGAGGGTGATTCGATTTAGGCGCGGATCAGGTCGTCTAGGATTCGCGCTTAAAAGGACCCGAATTATAAATAAATTAAGTATTAATTTTTGTTTGTTTGGTTTTTTTTTAATAAATAAATACCACAGATCGATTTGATGACTCGCTCCGTCTTCGTAATCTTGATCGGAGCGAAACTGTTTCGTAACCGTGATGTAACACTATAAGCTACGCGCGTGATGCGATCCAAAGAAAATTGTGCCTTACGCAACGCTCTTAAATATTAGTGAATATCTTTTTGTATATTTATAGATTTGAGAACACACACTTATTAATATTATTATATCTTTTGATCATTTTTTTTTTAATATTAATTTAATAATTAGAAAAAATAAGAAAAGTTTACAAAAACATCCCCGCTCTGCTTCAAATTTCTGTGACTATTGTTTGTTTGATTCTTTTTTTGGCACGATGTTCGAGAGAGCAGGGTTGAAAATTGGTGTGCTAAACGAGACGTGCTTTGACTGTCGTAAATTATCGAAATATTGCACTTTGTGCTGGTTGATTTTTTTTTTCAATTTGAGACGTACACAAAATTAAGAAAATTAATATAAAAACATAACAAAAATGAAATTGTTACAATTGATAGATTGTAAATTGAATTATTTGAAAAGGCCCTCTTTGCCTTTCATGAAATAGGATATAATATCGATCGGCAGCGGGAATACGATTGTCGAATTCTTCTCCGATGATATCGTGTTCAATGTCTAATAACAAGTTTACTCAATTAGTTTCAAACCATGCAGATGCTTAAGAGATTCGCTGCAACGGCTCTGAAGATACGTTATTTAAGTTCAGAGTCGTTGCGGCAAATGGATGATGGTAGCTTAAGCTAAGCCAAATGAAATTAGCCACTCGGGTTTAACGCCTCTCGATCTTACCTGAAGATAGCGGAGCTGCAAGGCGGCCGGGGAATCCCCGATCACCTCGGAAGCTTCGCGCAAAGCCCTGGACGCCTTCTGCTCGCCCTCGGCGGCGATTACTTTGGCTCTGGCCTCGCGGGCGGCTTCCGCCTCTGCGGCCATGGCGCGCTGCAATTGAACCGGTAAACGAACGTCCTTTCTGTAAACAAAATAAAATTTAGAAAAAAAAAACGAAAAGATCAAATTTAGTTTGATTTACATTTCGACTCGTTCGACGTTGATGCCCCAGGAGTCGGTGGCGTCGTCGAGGAGGGCCTTCATGTGCTGCGAGATGCTCTCGCGCTCGCTCAAAATCTCGTGCAAAGGCCTCTGACCCATGATATTCCGTAAGGTCGTCTGCGCTAGAAGCCTAGTCGAATGGTGGGCGTTTTCGACGTTCGCGATGGACACCGTCGCGTTCGACACGCGATAATAGACCACAGCATCCACGGATACCGTTACAGAATCCTTGGTCAGGACCTATCAATCATGGAAAAAAGAGAAGAAGAAAAAAAGAAGGAGAGAGTGCACGAAACTCCGTTTATCTTTCGGTTGCGTCATCGGTTATGGCGTAAACAAATATGGTAAATAATGAAATTAACAACTCACTTCTTGCGGTGGTATGTCGTAAGTCCTGGTACGCAGATCGACGCGAGCGTATGCATCAATGCATGGCAATATGAAGAAGATTCCTGCAATAATTATGAATTGAAATTTTACATTTACACTCAAATTTATCAATAAATTAATTACAAATCATAAATGTCACCGACGTGTGTTTATAATAACTAAACAATCCATAGCTTCAGCTTTAATAAAAGTATTCAATTATTAATGAGAGATTCGCAATTTTCGTGTTATATAATAAAATAATAATAATTTTCGAAGTTTCATAATACTAAACATTAACCTTGACATTAAATTACATAAGTATTATAAATTTCAAGACCATATTTGTCATAATTCGAAATGTCAGAATTCAAAACGTCAAAATTGACACCAAATTACATAAAAAAAAAGACAGTACTTTTTTTTCATGCTAAATATTTCATAATTTTAAATTAGCTACGTTATTACGTGAATGTTATAAATATTCATTAAAATTTCAGCTTTAACATGGACATTAAATAATTAATCTTCTACATTTGTAATTAATGGCGCTAATAACGTATTAAAGTGCGCCATCAAAACACGCCGTTATTTTCTGGCGATTAAATTTTGAAAATTTAAATTAAATTTTTAATTGAATTCATAAAACTAAATGAATATTCCTGGAAATTTTATAAATAATTGTCAATCGCTAGTAAACATTTCTCCGTAATCAACAACAAAATAACTGCGGGTTATCACTGATGATTGCACTCGAAGAGACGGAGAGAGAAAAAGAGTGATGGTTGAGTATAAATACAAGACGATTGCAAATCCTTTCTGATAAACAGTGATCATAATGTTCACGAAACAGTTGTTTTGGGTTGCGCTGCTCGTCGTCTCCGTTAATTCCCAATCAGTGCTGAAGGGAATAAAGGCTTCGATCAAGGATGGTTCCGGGTCCAGGGATATTGTAATTAACGATTTGAAGGATTTGGCCGAAGCGTACGAGCTTCGCATTGAAGATCAGCGTCTGCCCGAACTCACCCACGATTGCCTGAAGAACTTGGACCGTCTGGATACGTTGGTTATCAAGAGATGCGGCTTGCAGAACATACATTCAGATGCTTTCAAAAGTCTCACGAGTTTAAGGATTCTGGATCTATCCAGGAACAAGATCGAAAACGTGGACAAAGTCTTTATAGGTTTAAACGTTTGGAGGGTGAATTTGAGCATGAACCATCTCAGTCTAATCGGCGATGATGCTTTCGACAATATGCCTAAGCTCCGCGTTTTGGAGCTGGACAACAACAGATTGACGAAGATCAACACGAATTGGTTCAAAGGTTCCCCGAAAGTCTTCAGACTGCAGATGGATAATAACAAGATAACGCAGATTCCGAAAGCTGCCTTCAAGAGGATGGATACAGAAGCCGCTTTGGACATTTGGCTCATGGATAATCGCATTGAGAAAATTCACACGATGGCTTTCGAAGGGGTGAAAAAGTTGGACACTCTTTGGTTGACCAATAACAAGATCAGCAGTATAACCGGAGAAATGTTCGAGGATGTGGTGAAGATCAGAAGCTTCTACATAGACAGAAACGCGTTGAGATGCATCGATGATTCAGCATTGACGCACATCGCTGTAGAACAATTCAGCATTGATAGAAACCCCATAAGCTGCGAATGCCTTAGGGTGATCAAGAAATGGGCCAAGAAATCCGACGTCGAGTTGTCGTCAGCCTCGATTGGCTTGGGGTGCCTCAGGGATAGGATCGAGGAGCTCTTTGAAAAACAAAAGCAGTTCTACGAAGACCAATTAGACCGTGCGGAGAGGAGAGAGGATATCAAGTAGATTTTACACGATCATTAAAGACTTCTGTTTTCTTTAAATACTTATTTAATTATCCTTAATGTACTCACCGGGTCCTTTGGCGCCTCCGGACAATAATCTTCCCAAGCGGAAAATCACAGCCCTCTCGTATTCCTGCACAACCTAAAAAAAATAAATGAATATGATAATAAAAGTAAAAATAAACTCATAATCAAATTTAATTATAAAACAATGATTAAACAGTTTTATAAACTTAATTCACAGATTATAATTATTCATTATTCATTAATATCTAGTATAGTAATTAGTAAATTCCATTCGGTATTTCGGTAAAAATCATACAATCATAACCATAGTTTAATACTCGATATTATAATTATAAAAATCCGTAATCAAATTTAAATATAAAATTACAAAGTGTTATCAGAAAATATGATTACAAAACAAATCTTTGCTGTTTTTGTTGTTGAAATTATAATTATATCAACATTAAATTGATAGCATTGAAAAAAACTAGAAATTATGTTGTTGTTATTAAATGCAGTAAAGTTCTTTTCATTTATATATAGACACACTTATTTACACAACATTTAGTTATCTAAATGTAAACGGTTTAGTAGTTTGCTAAAAGCACTTAAAGACACGGAGAAAGCGGACCTTAATTGAAGAGTAAATCTGGTAAAGGTGAAATATTGCTAAATAAGTTACAAATTTCACTTTCCATTTTCCTCTGTAAATTTTTCTTTGCGTTATTCTATAAATACTGAATAGAATTAATAAAAAAAAGTAATAAAATGTAATTTTCTACTAATTATGGAAGAATTATTATATTTTCTTTAACATTAAGTGTTTTTATTTTAAAGATCAGATGATCTGACGAAATTGGAAAATCCAGGTTAAATACTGCATCAATACGCAATTATCGTTTGATTACTTATGTTAATTG